GTGAAAACTCCTTCGCCTCTTCCTTACTTCATCATCTCTACCCTCTCCATTACTACCCGCAAAGATAATCTCTAGCTTCTCGAGATCTTGTGGAACACTCAACCGATACTGCCCTGCATCAGGATGCTCCTGTGGCAAAAGCAATCACTTTTTTTAGCCTCACAAAACACCGGAAAATTCAAAACTTATAATTAAACCTGTAAATAGTATGCCCATTCTTCGTCACTCGCACCAAACGTGTTGGTCTCAGGATCCCAATTCATATAACTAGTTTGAACGAGTCTACGCCATATCTTCCACTGCCTGCTCATTGTATCCCAATGGTTTTTAAGCTGCATTCTATCGTACATCGCGCCCGTCTCCTCCTGAAACGATGTCAATATATTCCTCCAACCTTCTTTCGAAAAATGTGTCCCGGGTTTGTTCCCTAGCAACGTTTGCTCCACGCATAGATCAAGAAATACTTTATGGTAATCATGCTCCCACACAGCTTTTGGCCTCATTTTTCCAACTTCCTTAACTCCTAACAATAAAAAACTATTAGCATTTACATAATTGTGAACTAAAGAACAGAAAAACAGAGACATTGATGATACACACACACACAAAACATAAAACAGTTGTGTACAAATTGAACAATTAGATCAAGTTTTTGTAATTAAACACTTGTTAAACTGAACAAATGCTAGAAATTTGAACACAAATCATATAAACAAATTGAAGTGTCAATTAGATCTACAAAACGCGTCGAGATTCGAGACATTGAGCTCAAGGACGCAGACGCAAATGATACGAAACGTGATTTTAGGGGAAAGTACACGATTTTGACGAACTAAGACATTCCCTCATTTCGAAATCAAATTAATCGTACGTGAAGGTGGAGGAATGAGCACGAAACCCTAATTCGAGTAATCGGAAGAAACTAACCGGCGGTAATTTGGGACGCCGGAAAAGCAGAACGGGAAAACGTAACGGAATAAGGAAACGGTAAAACGTTACCGGGATTCCGACAGAAACGCGACTGCGATTGAGTGGCCACAGCTGTGACGAGTTCGATCGCGATTTCCCCTAGCTTTCTCTCTTCGTTTTTGCGTTTAGGCCGCACTGTAAGGAGTTGCAAGGTTTTTTTTTTTTACAGAATTGTGGGCTGGGCCGAATTATTTATTGGTCATGAGTTATGGACCAATCAATTAGGCTCGGTTTAGATACACAGATTTACAGATAATGGAAAAAAT